CCCAACTTCGCGCTTCGCGCTGCGCGAAGCGCGAAGTGCGAATAACTTCGCGCTCTCGCGCCGCCTCCCAGGGGAGCAAAAGAGGATGAGGAGGAATCGGAGCCGAACCGCGAAGCGCGAAGCGCGAATAACTTCGCGCCCTCGAGGGCGCCCTTGGATCAGCCTGCAGGAGGACATGCCCGACCTGGCGTGACGCGCCTCCAGTCTCAGCGAGGCATCAAGGTGCAACCCCCCAAAGTGCCTGGGCTGTTGCTCTGGGTGGGATGGGGCCTGTGCTCGGCGGGGGATCGCCGCTCGGTGACGCCCCGCGGAGGAGGAGGAGGAGGAGGAGGAGGAGAAGGAGGGGAGGAGGAGGAGGAGGAGGAGGAAGGAGGAGGAGGAGGGGGGAGGGGGAGGAGGAGGAGGAGGGAGGAGAGGAGGAGGAGGAGGAGGAGGAGGAGGGGGAGGAGGAGGAGGAGGAGGAGGAGGAGGAGGAGGAGGGAGCGTACCAAACCTCGCAGAGCGTGGGCCCGTTAAGGAATGCGTGCCTGGGTGCGGATCGCCGCCGTCGGCGTCGCCGCCGCGGTGCGTGCTGCTCTGCCCCGGACTGACTTCCCATGTCCGGTGGCCACCGCTGCCACTACCACCACACCACCTCGCTCCATCCATCCTCCCTTCCCTCCCTCCTCCCTCCCTCCCTCCCTCCTCCTCCTTCCCTCCTCTTCTTCTCCTCCTCCTCCTCCTCCTCCTCCTCCTCCTCCTCCTCCTCCTCCTCCTCTCCCGCCCCGCCGCCCGCCCGCCGCCCGCCCGCCCGCCCGCCCGCCCCGCCCGCCCGCCCGCCCGCCCCCCTCCCTCCCTCCCTCCTTCCCTCCTTCCCTCCCTCCCTCCCTCCCTCCTCCCTCCTCCTCCTCCTCTTCTGGCGGCGGCGGGCCGCGAGTCTGGCCCGCCGGGCGCTCTGCACGAGCGCGCGGGCGACGCCCCTCAGCACTCAGCACCGACTCCCCGGAAGCGGCCGTTGCCCGGCCCCCTCCTTGCATTCTCTCGGCGGTGGACAAACCTCCCTTTAGTAAACCTCCCTTTAGTGAAAACGGCCTGGGACCGAAACCGACGGACCTGGACCCGCAAAAATGACGGCCGCGACGCCCTCTCGCGAACCGAAAACTGCCAATTCCTTAATCGACGTGTCAGGGTAGGAGGTCTGTCCACCCCCGAGTCTCCACAGCACCTCGGGCCGCGCCGATCCGTCGGCGCTTGCCCCTCCCGCCCAGGCCACGCAGGTGTGAAGCCGTGAGCGTCGCTGGTGCGGCCGAGCCTCGGCGAGAGCCCCCGGCCGCCAAGGTGGCAGCGGGGCGGCCGTGCTGGGCCACCCGCTTGGGGCGCGGCGCCCGGGAGGCCTCGTCGGGCGAGCTCAGAGCCCCTGGGGGGCCGGGAGGGCACCCCGAGGCTCGGAACCATGGCGGGCGGGGCCGCGGACTATTCATCCTGGGAGCGCCACCTCACGCAGATGTGCCGCATGTACGAGCTCCGCCACAAGGACGAGCGGAGCGGGCCTCATGGCGACGCCGCTGGTCCTGCGCAAGTCATGTGGGCTCGAAGAGCTCAGGCGCCAAGTCTGCAGCCCAGCTTCGCTAAAGCGCTGGGCGAGCCCGATGCCATCATCACGGCAGCCGATTACGCTCAGCGTTCGACAATCATCGTCCGTCATCGTCATCGTCGTCATGGCTCCTGCGACTTCCTGGTGACCGACCACAGCGTCATGGCCCCTGTGGAGAAGAGTGAACCGCTGGGGCACACGGCGGCAGTCGTCTGCGCACATTATACAGCTGGACCCTCGAAGAGCGCAGGAAGCTGACCGCGTTGGCCCGGATGTTGCTCTACACCTCGAAGGCGAAAGGTTTGTTCCTCCTGGGCCCGGAACGGACGGCTCGAGGTGGGGCCACGGCATGCGCGAATGGAGCTGCGGCTGATCTCTTTTCAGGGTGCATGAGTCCGATGTCGGTTCTGATCAGATTTGCGGTGGATCTGATTCCCGTCAGCACGGGTCTGAATTCGCTTGTTCCACTCGATGTCCGTCCCCATGTGCTTCGAAGGACCTGATTTACACCCGTGTAAATATGTATACGATCGAACTAGATCGGGAGGACGACGGGGAATCATACCCGAAGCCCCAGGGCCCTGCCGTGTCGAGATGCTGCGGGGGTGGGGGGGGTAATTACGGAGTGTCGCGGCTCGCGCTTCAAGAGGAATCCTTCGTCGCAGGGCGAAGCCTGGCCTTTTGGTGTGCCCAAAACGCCACTGCAGTGGACACCCCGGGGGCGCCAGAAACTGGCGGCCGCTGCGAGCCTGGCAGCACCCACGGAGAGCGAGGCTCAGCCCGCGCAAGACGCCACTGGCCACCGCTCGGACGTCCATTCCCTGTGCTTTTTTCGGTTTCGTGCGCGGCTGTTTCCCCCAATGATCAATCAGGGGGGCGTAAGACCCGGGTACAGGGGACTCGGAAATCCCCGACGAGGTCGTCAAAAAAATGACGAGGCCGAGCCTGCATTTTGACGAGGCCTCCCGCTGCAGACATCCCACGAAACTCCTACTCGTCAAAATCCGAGTCGCGGTCGTCAAAAAACGATGGCGAACCCGAGTCCTGGCAAACCCGGGTCTTACGCTCCCCCGAATCAAGGATGCTCCTCGATGGCCCTCGCCGAAGGAAAAATGCACACGCCCGAGCGATGCCAGGGCCTCTCTCCGCTGGACCCCCCCCGAGGCGCGGGCGACGGCGGCGACGGCTGCACGAACGGCAGCACAGCACCCACAGGGGGCGAGGCCCGGCTTGCCTTACTCGAGGGGCCCAAGGACACACACACTATATATATAATATATATATATTATATTATAGATATATATATATATATATATATATATATATTATATATATATATATATATAATATATATATATATATATAAAATACACACACACACACCAAGAACTAGATTCCCCATGTTTTTCCATATTTTCTGGGTTTGTGTCTTCCCCCCCACTTCCCATATGTTCCCAGATCTTCTGGGGAATCGACGATGAATTGTGTCTGTGTGTGTTTTCCCCTCCTGCCTTACGCCCGGCGCCCCCTCCGCTGGCCGCCGGCTCCCAGGAGTGCACACCAAGCAGGGCGACTACAGCACGTCTGGCAACCCCTCCCAGGACAAGCGCAGGACAAGGCCCCCCCCGGCACCGTCCCTACTGAGGGGCAACGATAGGAGGGGGCTGGCATAGGGGGAAGGCATCGACCTGGAATCGGCGACACATCGCCGATAGGTCGGCGATAGGCCCCCGATAGTGAATCCGCACCTTCCTGGGCGGGTTGGGGCTACCGGGCCCCTATCGGCGATCAATGGGCGACTGGGGGTCGATGCATCCCCCCCTATGCCTATCCCCCCCCCTATCGCTGCCCCTGACCTGCTGGAGTCAGATGTGTCTTGCGTCAGGCCGCGCTGGCGCGCTCCGTGTGGAACTCTGCCACGGCTGCGTGGAGTGCCCTCGGCCTCCCCCTGTTCGAAGGATTGCAAAAAAAAACCCTTTTGAACGAAGGATTGCAAAAAAAAGCCCTTTTGAACGTGGGTTTTTTGTTGCAATCCTTTTTTTTGCAATCCTTTTTTTGCAGTCCTTCGCACAGCCGCCCCGTCTGTCTTGTGCCCCTCTCCTGCACGCCGGCCAAGTCGCGTTTCGGTCGCCCCGTTCGCTCATCGCCGGAGCAGCTCTGCTGCCTCGCCGCCGGCGGACAAAAAAGATGTCTCTGGCCAGCTTGCCCCTGGCTACGACCGGTAAGCATCTCTCGCCCGCTCTCGCAATTTCACCTCACCCGCGCGCAAGGCTGGACACGAACACAAACCGAAACCGACTTCCTGATTGCGTCCTCTCAGCTCGCACGTCCCAACCTCCAATCACTCTCCCATCGCTTGGAACGCACACATAGATGCACGCACACAGAAATCAAGCAAACCTGTGAACCCAGGCTTCCAACTCCGAATTCGGCACTACCATACACCTCACTGCAAGTCCGATTCCAGCGCATGCAGCTCCCACCAAATTCGCAATAATGCTGTAGATCTGTATCCCTATCCGACAAGGAGTGCCAAAAGAGCACCGATATCTGGCATGCTGGGAGAGGGGGCATTTTTTTCATGTCGGTTTCTGGTTCACACCCGGCAGGGTCAAAGAAGGCAGAATACGACCAGAACGACCCTAAGATGAACACGGTTAAATGGATGAGGGAGGGATGGAGGAGAGGGAGGAAGGTAATTGGGGAGACCAGAAGGTACCCATACCACTACTCCCCGGACCTCTCATGGTGTGCGTTCTGACCAGGGCTTCGAAACGAATACGGCGGTGACGACAAGGGCCTCCCAGGAGACCCAAAAAGGGGGGACACGAGGGAAGGGTAGCGGTAGGGGTACCTTTTCCTCCTCCGAGCAGTGGAGGAGGAAATCAAGAGGCAAGAGAAGGAGGCAAGAGAGAGAGAAGGGAGGAAAAAATCTGAGGTTCGAGGGCCCCTGCGGAGAGCCAGGCAACATACCATGAATAGGCGAAGCTGGGGCTGAGCTACTTAGGGCGACGCAATCTATACATATCCACTGCTCCCTGGCCAGGCCCATCCTGAACACAGCAGCTGTGTATACGCCACGCCCTCCTGGTTTGGCCAGGAGGGCGTATACACAGCTCCTGGGTTCAGGATGGGCCTGGCCAGGGAGCAGTGGATATGTATAGATTGCGTCCCCCGACTACTGCAGCATCCCCTCCAGTGTCTTCTGTCGGCGGCGAGCGAAGGGCCGGAAGTGAGAAGAAGAAGGCCTTCACAGAAGGCGGCTTCGCAGAAGCCCTCGCGCCTTCCGAGAGGTTTTCTGTGACTTCGGGGAAAGGCTCAGGGAACTTCTCAGGAGGCCGGGGAGCTTCCGAGCCTTCTGAGAAGGCCTCCTCCTTCTCATTCCCCCTTTCGCTCGCCGCAGATTCTGGCACTGCTGCAAACACGCTCATCCAGCGAGTATGGTCCCGAATACCGCGGAAGACTGTGGCACGATAGCTCCCTCGGTCTGGTAAAAGATCAGGGAGAACCTCTCACAAGCCTCATCATACGGAGCTACCCAATGTGGGAAACGCCCGTCAACCTTCCCAAGACGGCCTTTCGTGTTCACTTCGGCGACTGTCATGGCATCAACTTCCACGCGTATCCCACCTGTCCCGTCCGCGAAATCGCCGAACGCGAGCCCATAGAAAGGACCAGTACTTCAGGGGGCGAAAACACACTAGAATCGGTGCTCCGCCTCCCCTCCTCCCCCTCTCGGGGGGGAGAGGAAAGAAGGGAGGGCGAGTATCGGTACCAGTATGGCTTTGTCCCCTGAGTATTTGTTGTATCGATATGTGGCGAGCCCCTGAACCCTTGAGTCACGGCCAGCCCTGTAAATTTAGCAGCAAAGTCGGGGTCCACCGAAGCCATCGCAACTTTAGCTAGATTCCAAAGCTTCTCGTTTTGTTCGTACTTCTTCTGGGCCGTCAACGCACGGCGGCTTCCGACACTGAGCTTCTTCTCGAATTCCGTCGGGGAGCGCAAAATCATGTAAGTTTGCGCGCGGATGTTTGGGCGCTCCTGATGATGCTCATGTCTCGCTGCCCACTCCCGCAGCAAGACAAGTAGCTGGTCGAGCAGCTCTTTTTCCACAGGTGTGCCATTCACCCGCACCAACCTCCGCTCCTCCTCAATACCAGCCATACGGTAGCGCTCGAGCAGATGATCCATCACTTCAGCACGAGGTGGTGGTGATGGGCCCACCCTCTGGTAGGGCTCCTCACCAAAAGAATCCACTAGACGGCGGCGAAGCTGGAGAGTGGTGAAGGGCTCGAGCTGGGAGCGGAGAAGAGACGCATCCCGGTCGCACGCGCCTTCGCCGACCTTAGCCCCTGGCGGCGGCGGAAAGGTCACCGTCATTCTTACAGCCACGTTGGGGAGCTCTGACCTCAGCAGATCTGCCAAGTCCTGCGTGTAACATTTTCTGTTCAGAGTAAGATCCAATTCCTCAAGAGACGGCAGCCCAGGGGGTTGCAGCAGCATTTTAAGAAAATCTAGGCTGGGGCGGAGATCATTTCTGCTGATGTTGATCTTTGCTAGTTCGGGAAGAAGTGGTAACGATGCTGGCAAGCCTTTGAACTCGTTGCGGCACAGATCCAACTCCGTCAGCGACACCAACCTTTCGAGCCCTGGCAATGCAGACAGCTTGTTGTGGCTGAGATCCAGCGACCTGATCTTCGCCCACGAGCGCGGCAATAGCTGCAGCGAGAACTCCAGCAGGTCCAGTCCGAACAACGACACGACAACTGGGCCCTCCGACTGCTCGCCGGCCCTCCCCGCTTGAGCGCCCTCGGTGGTCCGATTCTGGGCACTCGATGTGCAGCAGTCTGTCGGCGACGGGCTCATAGAAGCCACTGCCTCAGCCGCCGCGAGGCGGACGCGGGGGCGCGCATCACACCTCAAGGAGTTGTGCAGCTTTGCGACCTGGCGTGCCGCCCTCCTCTCCGCCTGCTCCCTGCGGCGGGCGTCACGACTCGCTTGAAGGTCTTCCCTCGCGACTTGCAAGGCAGCTGCTGGTGCTGCACACGCCATGCGTCAAGCGTGGGAGAACTCCCAGAAGAGCAGGGCCGACGGGCGGAAAATCAAAAGCACAAGCGTGCCATTCGAGCTCAAAGCGGGAACTGAAACACCTTGAGCCAACGAGGATACTACAGCGGGGAGGGGAGGGAGGAGGAGCAGTGGCAGGAAGAGCAGGAGAAGGAGAGAGAGACCTTGAAACAGTCAAGAACTTCAGCCCAGAAGGTGCAGCATCCTAGAAACAATCAAAAGAGGTCTGGGGTCGCACGCGCACTCCTTTTGTTAATCCTAAAGAAAAGAAGGTCAGAGAGGAGCAAATTCTCTGAAGAACGATACCCAGACAATGCTTGCACTAGGTTCCACTTGCCTCCCGACTAGTTAATCATCCCAGACCCCCGACGCCGCGATTTTTGCCACAACGTCGACTCCCAGAAGTCTGGACCCCTTCCCCGGACCGGTTTTCCGTCCTGTGTCGTTCTTTGAGGGTCCCGAGGCCCGGCAGGGGCCCCGGGGGAGGCCGAAAATCCGCCGACCCTGTCGGCGTGTGTGCTCGTTGGGTTTGTCTGTTCGAGTCGTCGTCTCCGTCAGACGTCGTCTGCGTCGCTCTCGTTCCCTGCACCCTCCTCAAGCCTGGCAGCGAGAGAAAAACCTCGCGTCGTAATCGAATCGAAAAGAAACCCCTTTCCTTTGATCACTTCCCCGCGCCGGGGGTGGTCCCCAAGAGGGTCGCCACCCAGATACGCTCCCCCCCCGCGCGATTCCGAAACACTCGCGCGGTCCCCGCGCAGTCCCGGAACCCCCGCGCGGTCCTGGAAGCCCGAGGAATTCCCCAGGAATTCTCCACGAGACCTCCAAGAGGCCCCCGGACTTCCAAGACTCTTCCACAGGGTGCCCAAGAGGGCCCCAAGATGCCTCCGAAGGCACTCCCGAGCAAGAGGCGAAAATCATTGATTTTCCTTAGGTTTTGAAAAGACTTGGGCGTTCTCGCCTTTTCTGCTTCCCGCCGCTCCAAGACAGCCGAAGAGACCCTCAAGATCGCCCCAAGACGGCCGAAGAGGCTTCCAAGAGCGCTCCAAAACGTCCCAAGAGAACTCCAAGACAACCCAAGACGCCTCCAAGATGTCCCAAGAGGCCCCCAAGACGGCTCCACGTGCCTTCACGGTGAACCCGAACGGACATTTCGAGCCCTCGGCCCCGAGAAGCTCCCAGGAGGCCCCAAGAGGTTCCCAAGAGGCCCCAAGAAGCCCACAAGAGGCCCCCCCCTGGGCACCCGAAGAGGCCCCCAAGAGCCTTCCCAAGAGACCCCAAGAAGCATCCCTGAGGACTCGGGCCCACGTCAGCCTCGTCGTCGTCACCGCCGCCACCGCCGCCGTCGTCGTCGACGTCCCCCATTCGGGGTCGGCGGCACCGGCCGTAAGGCCTTCGCAACAGCGAGAAACCTCCTGTGGTGACTTCTTCACCACGCGAGGGGTCTGGCATTGGGCTCCGACGCGCGGCCGCCCCGCTCGCCGCCGTCGCCGTCGCCGCCGTCGCCGTCGCCGTCGCCGCCGCGGTCGTCGCCGCCGCTGTCGTCGTCGTCGCCGTCGTCGCCGCGGTCGTCGTCGCCGCCGCCGCCGTCGTCGTGCACTGCTTGGGTGCTCCGAGTCTTCGCCCGGCGCCCGCCCGGCGCCGCCTCGTGGCCCCGTGCGCCGTGTCTGGGCCTTCCGCTCGCGGCCCACGGCTCACCCCCGGCGTCCGCCGCGTCTGCCAGGCCTTTCGCCCAGGGGCCCGCCCGTCGCCGCCCGTCACCGCCCCGTGCCCTGGGCTGCGCTGCCACCTGCATTCAAGTCGGGCATGTCCCCCTGCAGGCGGACCGTGGAAGAGATATCCAAAATAGTTACGGGGTGTGCAGAACGAGTCAAAAATAGCCGAAGCATCGTCCCCAGACTATGTTCTGGCTATTCCTGAATATACTCCTCCTGTAGAGGGACATGCCCGACTCAAACCCAAAATCTGTCTCCTAGAAACAAGTGGACCGCGCCCAAGACGGCACCCCTCCACGCACTGCCCAGTCTGCAATATCATGTACGATCGCTCCGCCGACGTACGAGATCCTCCCATCAGAGCAATCACGGTATCGATACTGCTGCGTCATCCTTGTCCAGTGAGACTACGCAGTTTGCACACGCGTTGATATCACAAGCGCATCTCGTAAGTCTCCCCGTCAGAGAACGCCATGCGGGCCACACGTGCCAGACAAGAGCAAGTGTTGTATGGTTGGCGCGCGCGTGCTGAAAAAACAGCCAAACCAAAAATGACCTGTCACCCCTGCCGAATACGAACATGCGGGGCACATGCGCGCGCCCCCGCGCTTGTCGATATGTATATATACCTATACACATACATCCATACATCCATACATCAATACATCCATACATCCATACATCCATACATCCATACATCCATACATCCATACATCCATACATCCATACATTCATACATCCATACATCCATATATATATATATATACATACATACATACATACATACATACATACATACATATATGCATGCATGCATGCATGCATGCATGCATGCATGCATGTACGCATACATATATACATACATACGCACATACCTATATACAAATACGTATATACATACAAACGTGCATACATACGTACACGAATAACATGCATTCGTACATACATGCATGCATGCATGCATGCATACGTACGTACATACATCCATACATGCGTACATGCATGCATGCATACATGCATACATGCGTACATGCATGCATGCATACATACATACATACAACTATGCATTACTATATATGTATACATACACACATACACACCTATCATACTGTAACATGCCATATCAAAGTATACCATACCAAACCATACCACGCCATGCCATGTCATGCATACATGCATGCATAGATACATAAACAACTATGATTCCATGCATATATACAAACATGCATACACACGTACATATGTACATGCATACGTATATAGATGTGCGTATACAAGGCTGGATTTGCGCTTCGCGCCATGCACCTTGGTCCTTGAAGTTTGACATGCAGGGGGAATGGCAAGAAACTCAAACAGGCAATTTAGCGATAACTCCTTGTTACCTTTTCCAGCATCGTCGTTATAACAATGTGATTCGTTATCCTTCCTCCATGGTACTGGTTCCTCATGCTCGCCCTAACCTGCGAATTCTTCCCCATCCTCCTCAGCTCTTTATGCGGAAGCTCCTCCTTGGAGAGCCTCTGGGGGGCTCAGGGAATTTGGTTCAGGCTTTCTGAAAGTCTTCGGGAGGCCTCCTGGGCGTCTTCTGGGGGCCTCTGGGGGCTTCCTCGGGCCACCCTGCCTCCAACCGCGGTCTCCCTGAACGACCGGGTAACGATTTGGAATGCTTCGGGGGATGTCTTGGTGCCATCTTGGGCCGTCATGGGGCTCTATTAGGCCATTTTGGAACCCTGTTGTGCCACCTTTGGCGTTCTCTTGGACTGCCTGGAAGCCCTTTCGGATGGTTTTAGGAGCGATTTTCGAGCCTCCCAGACGGTCTCGGACGCCAAGAAGACCGAAGAACAGGGCATTCATTCCAAGCTCCGAGACGCCCAAGACGGCCTCCAGACGCCCCAAGAGGCCTCCAAGAGCACTCCCAAGAAAGCCCGAAGAGCCAAAATGAATTGATTGCCCTCTGGCTCCCGAAGGATTAGGGCGTTTCCGCGTTGTCGGGTTCCCGACGCTCCCAGATAGGCCAAGAGGCCCCCAAGATCGTTCCAAGACGGCCCAAGAGGTCCCCAAGAGGGTGCCGAGACGGCACAAGAGGCTCCCAAGACGGCCCAAGAGGCCTCCAAGACAACGCAAACAGGAACGCCCCCAAAGGGGTCTTAGAGGGGAAACGCGAACCGACATTTCGAGATCTCAGCTCCCAGAGGCCCCAGGAGGCCCCGAGATGCCCCGAAGAGGCCCCCAAGAAGCCCCCAAGAGGCCCCCAAGAGGTCCGAAAAGAGGCCCCCAAGAACCCCCAAGAGGCCCGCAAAGGCCCCAAAAGACCACCTCCACGAAAGCCCCCGGAAATCCAAATCTTTCAAATCCCAAAGCAAAACATACATGTTTTATTGTGTTCGCCTTTGGGGCCGTCCAGCGTCTCATCGTCGTTTTCTTCTTCTTTTTCCTCCTCCTCCTCCTCCTCCTCTCCTCCCCCCCTCCTCCTCCTCTCCTCCTCCTCCTCCCGCCTCCTCCCCTCCTCCTTCATCCTCCTCCTCCTCCTCCTCCTCCTCCTCCTCCTCCTCCTCCCCCGTAGCCATTTTGGCTCAAGCCATTTTGGCTCTCAAGGGTGGGGTTAAACCCATCCTTAACTTCCCAACCTCGCTCGAGCAGCAACAGGTGCATGCGCCCCGCGCGCCCCCGCGGTCCCCCTGGCCTCACAGTTTTGTTGGTGAAGGTTCTTCATCTCGTGTGGCAGCCATGGCAGACCAGCGCGCCTTCCATCAGTGCAGTAACCCGCAGTGCTCAGGATGGATCTGGGCAAATCGGCGGGCACAGTTTTGTGGGGATTGTGGGTCCCCTTTCAGCAGGGCAGTTCGATTTGCAGATCCGCAACCCCGCCCAGCTCCCAAAGCCAAACCAGAGGCCAAGTCCCGCGCCCGTGGCCCCCCAGGCCAAGGGCGTTGGGGCAGGCGCTCTGACAGCCGCCCTCCCCAACCCTGCAGGCGTTGGGGGAGGGAGTGGGGGGCGCCAGCAATCAGCCCCCCCAGCAGCGGCAGCGGCAGCAGACGGAGGAGGTGGAGGAGGAGGCCCAGCAGCCTCGACTGCTGCCAACAGCAGTCCTGATGCAGTCACCTTCGCCCAGGACCACCTCTCTTTCCTCCGCCGTTCAGGACTCGACCAGGAGCACCCCCTCATCAAGGCAGCCACCCAAGAGCTTCAGCAAGCCAAGCGGGCGGCTTTGGCATCGAGGAGCTTGGGGGAGCAAACTAAGAGCCTGGTTGACCAGTTGGATGCCCAACGGAA